GTACACAAAAATATAAGAAATTATGTATTGATGGTACAAATGACAAATATTTTGCTTAATTATAATTATAATGTGTTTTATGTATAGTAAAATGAAGAGATTTTACATACTTTTTGTGTGATCAGAATAAGGTTGGTGACTAACAAAGCAATATATTAGAAATGGTAACTATCAAAAATATTATAAAAATATTATACTAATTAGAAATTTTGTTTCTTGACATACACTTATTTCTATAAAGTCAAATATCTTAGATTTTCATTCACTTAAAACCATGCGGCAGTAATATGATGAGCTGTACTAGTCTAATACAAAACTGTAAGGCAAAAGCATCACTTTGTTTAAAATTTTAAAATGTAGTCTTCCCAAATGAGAGGATAGTCAATAAAAGGATTTAATGTTACTCTTCTTATCGTTCACCTGAAGAAGTATACTGTGTATATGAAAGCTTCTGATAATAAAATCTCTAAAATCTCAAAGTGCTGCTTTTTGCTTTCTTAATGTTTCAAGCTACAGTAGTATCTCTGAAATAGATTGATATATTCAAGAATTGTTTCTGTCAGGGATTAAACCACTGCCTACTCAGATGATTCTCTTTCAGTTAAAGCTAATTGCTTTTACTTGCATTAGTATTAGAGAGCTTTTATTATCAACAAAACTGCATTATAATCTCTGTTTCACATTCATAATTATCTTGCTTGGTAGAGATAGATTTCATCAGAACATCATTTTAAAATAGTAATATTCTAGTAATGATAATATGTCTGTGTCATACAGTATTGCATCTTGACAATGTCTCTGTGCACAGTTTTGATTTTTTTTTTTTTTTTGGTCACCCCAAACAAGGCCAAGGGCAACTCTAGGTAAGGGTTTAGGATAGTTAAAAAGAAAACGGTCGACACAAGATTTAAAATTTGCAAGATGAAAGGAAATTAAACAATCAGTAGACAGTAACAAATTCCAAAGAGAAGCCGAACGACAAAAAATGAATTAAAAAAAGTGGAAGTTCTGCATTTAGGAAGTTCAAAAAAGAAAAGTGGAAGTTCTGCATTTAGGAAGTTTAAGAGTGAACGGATTACAAATTGAAGCCAATCTGGTATTTCTGGAAAAACTACAAACAGATGCCATAAATAAGTTGAGAGATCTTCCCAGATATTAGGGACCTTTCGATTTACGCAATGACACAATGCTGGAATCTCTCATGTATGACTGTCCTACAGGATGTTCTCTGCATACATAGATTTGGCCAAATTACTTCCTAAAATCCACGCAACGAGAAGAACTTAAGGTTCTCGCATGCGCAGATGACTTTTAGTGACATCATTACGTTCTACGTCTTACCGTCGTCATGCAATCGAAAACTACGTATTACTACTGTAGTCACTAGATCCAACACCACTGTGCTCAGCTCCCTAGCTGTGTATTTAGTATTGCCGCAGATAATAAGCACATCTACCAGGTACCCGCTAATTATGATGGAGTGGCTATTGCAGCAGTTTTGATTAGAGGGCCTTAATTTTTAGGTTAGATGTTTAGTTAATCCTCGCTGTATGTTTTGCTTTTTTCTTTGGGCACTTAACAGTTGTTTCTCCAGGCCGGTAACCAGATTGAGAAATTGTGGAAGGGATCAATTTAAAATGTGAACAGAAGTCACATTGTTTAAGTTGTGCTCCACAAAGAAGAGATCCTATAAAAACAATATGTTTTTGATGTTGAGAAATAAATTCTCCAACATTTCAAGAAAACATTTTTTTAAGTTTATTAAGATAATGTAGACCTACAAAATTTAAGTTTGCAAAATTGGAGGAAATTTGACTGCATATTCCATGGTTACATACACACACAAATAAAACAGAAACTAGGTCTAGGAGTAACTTATATGTCCTACTTTGTTAAAAATCATATTCACATTTATGGCCTGTGGGAGTGTAATAGTGGAGAATCCTGAACTAATCCCAATTGCAATGAAAACTTAATGGTCAGTTTTAGTATTTTAACCCACCTAATGGAACTAATTTGCCACAATTTGGAAGGGGGCTATGTCGGCGCCTTGCTCATCCCTCAGTCTACGTCCATGTATAGTAGTAACGTGTTATATTGCTTGCTAAGGGAGGACATAGAAAGTTTTATTGAATGGCGATTAAAAAGCTCCAGTGAAGAAGCTTTTTTATTAAATCTAGAAATTGTCTAATCATACAAGCCAGTGGGGAAGTGGAATGCAAGATACAAGATAAAATCACAATAAATATACAAACATATTGTCACCCTAAATCCTGGTATAATAAAAAAAATAAATTGGCTCAAATTTTCAAAAGTAGGTCAGCTTAATACAATGTTAAATACAATAGCAATTTCAAAGCCACTTTTTCACAAATAGGCTAGGCTTAACGTACTTTATTCATTGGATTACTGTCACTTGCACTGATTGAAGTAATAAATAGAGCCTTATGTGAAAATAATTCAATATAGTACTGAACAATAAACCAATGTACATTGTGCATTTTATTTTGAATAAAATTCACTAAAATAATTTTTAAAAAGCTTCAAATAGGTGTTGATAATTACAGTTGATGCGAAATATTTTTCATTATGGTGGCACCCTTTGTGCCTTGAAGTATGTTGATCAAACTAGGGAAAAAAGCTTGGCAGTCAATAAAATTTGGTTCTTATCATTTTGGAAAAATATAGTTTATCAGTAGTGCATTAAATACCATTTTGCGAGTCTAAATTATGACTGGCTTTTATACACCAAAATTTACGGTATGGGTAATTTATTTTGTTGCTATTTTGACTGTTTATGCTAATTTTCCACTCCACATCATAGATTGCCATTAGTAAAGCTTGCATATATAAACCAAACACATTAACAAAGAATTAAGCAAATAAGTTAAGAACAGAATCAGTAAAAAGAGTGATTGCAAGCATATACATTTGTATTACATATGAATGTATGTCAGTTCCTCTCCAGTCATATGTAGGTTTTTGCGTATATGCGTTGACATTTAAAATAAAAGACGTATCATTAAATAATAGGTGCTTACATACAGTATTTCATTTAAATAAATACATTGAGTTTGATTCCAGATTAAATTTGTTTTGAACTTACAGAAACATGAAATTTGAATTATGTCATAATGCAAGCGTCATTACTTATTAATTATTGTATCTGTAAGTAAAAAATAAATGTAGGAAAATTGCTACTATGCGCTCACAAGCTGAAGACAGATTGTATAAATATATGTGAATATTTATTCAGACTGCATGTAAAATTATATTTTGTGAATGGTTTAGACATTAAGCCATTTCTCGCATTCATTGAGAATAGTTAGCTGATAATCTGTTAGAACATGATGGTAAAATAGCTACGCCCAGTCCTTGAATATTGTTTCTAAGGTCCAACAAAAGGACTGTGGGAAAACATACGCACACACATGTGTTTGTGGGACACCACATATTTCTGGCCCTGTTCTTATTGGTCAGTTGTTTAGTTTGATTGACACTCCAGATAGGTCAATTATGTTCAATCTTTGGTACTCTGTGATGGGAAGTAGAGTGTTTATGTTTTTCCAATGTTATAATTATTTTCATTTTCAACTTTGATTATGAATCAATGTGATATTTAAGTTTGAAATGAATATAATTATATCAATTACATCAAATTGACCATATTTAACCAAATTGACCATATTTATCCAAATTGACCATGTTTATCCAAATAAACACTCTGGGGCGTTCATTGCTGAGAAGGGTTTTTGAGGTGGGCATTTACTTGAGGGAGGTAATTATATTTTTTTGGTGTAAAATTGATGCGTATACTTACATAAATGTAAGTATATAAGTATATCCCAATGTTGAAAAAATGGAATTCTATTTGAGTAGGACATTTAATGGAATGTGTTGAGAATGATATTGCTTCCATTATTTTTGGCAGTACTTTTTGAGTGGGGGGGGGGGGGATGTATTCAAGAAAAATTTAAATGCCCCACGGCGATAAATTTGAGGGAGGCTTTTATTTCAAGTGAGGTTCCGAAAGGGGTGTTTATTTGAATAAGGTAATTACATTTTTTGTCAATTAAATGTTTCATTAGAAACATATCCTCACAATTAGCAGACTTAGATCTGTGCTACAGTACATTGATTTGATGAAATAAATCATACTATAGGTAATGCACTATCCAGACTATCAAATTTTATCAGACAAATACATGTGACATGCCTAAATATGGTCATGATGACATCACATCTTGACCATATAGGTGGCAAGACAAGCCAAAGCAGTCACTCGTTGCAAAAATCAATCTTTAGTTGTTGATACAGGATTTAACAGTAAAATGAGAGCTATGAAATGGTAAAAGAATCATTTAAATCTGATATTTCGTTATGAAGTTCAAACATACAACTGTTTAAAGAACAATATTTGAGAAATCGGCCTTTATGATTTTGGGCATTTCTTTGGCAGAAACCATCACCAAATAGTTATGAATTGTTGTTTTAACATTGAAAATGGGGAAAATAACAGCATAGCTTAATACATAGATATGTAAAGGTTAGTTTAGTGTAATAAAATAGATTTTATTATAATATTTCGGCATGTTTTGGCTATTATCTCTGAAACAGGATTTGTGGCGAGTGACTGGTTTGACTTGTCTTTGCCACATAGGCACATTAGGTTTTTTGTAAAACAATTTGATCGTTTGGAGAGAGCTTTAGATACTGCTTGGTAGAGGTGTGCACAGTATTGACATTTTCTGCATTCAAATTTGCTTCTTATTGTTAATTGTTGAGTCTGTAATTTTAAAGCAGCCTACCATATGGATATTATTATTATGTTCTGTATATTTTGCAAAGGAAATTGAATTAACAAGATTTGATATGTTATCTTGTTCTGTCAAAACTCGAACGATTTTGATACAGTAATCACTATCATTTTGTTGTAATTCCTTTAATACTGAAATTCAGATCCGGGAATTGAATAGCCGATTTTTTTTATTTCTTTACAGGTTTGTTTATGAAACAGAGCATTTCAACGGAGTAGGTGAATTACTAGAAATTCTTGGTAGGTAAGTAAACCGGTTTATAGTTTAACATAAAAATCATTAAACATCACTGCAGAATACAGAGAGAAAAAAACGGATATCATCTTTGTGCATCGAATGAGTGGTTAGTATTGGACTAGTGCACTGTCCAGTGCTCATAGTAGAATATGAAATATAATGAAATTGAACATGTGACCATAAGGGACCAGCTCAACAATTCTGCAGAGGCTAATGAAAGATGTCTTAATATCAAGTTGCAGTTTTTATATACTGACCAGAAATGTGTATGGTGTTCAGCTATACATATTTGAAATAAGTAGAGAAATTGAGATCAATATAGTCAACCTGATCCCTTTAACCATTTCATGGTACATTAACTTTTGTAAGTTTTAGATGTGGATTAATTATTATTCACTTTGATTTATTTAATGTCTCCATTAAGTACAATACAAAAATATAACAAGCATACATAATTTAAAAAAAAAAAAAAAAAAAAACAACCGTTTTGAGGATAACCTTTTCTTTAAGTTCTTGCAAGGGGACTTATTTCCAGAGTGGTCACCATGCATTCAATTTACCAATGTATGTTGTAGCCATATCTTATGAAATTTTTCTTCAGGTTTACAAATATATTGTTAACATAAATGTTCAAAGTCTCTAAAATACATTGTTTTTTAAATACATTAGATTGCCATTCAGGAAATTATAATATTGTTACAAGATTTACAGGGTATCATTCAATAGAGAAATAAGCCCACAAATTTATTTATTTTAGTAACTGTCGTAGGCCATTTATTTTTGGGGGCATGTTTGAGGAAAATTTTATTAGATGGAAGATTTATTTTTTTTCGGGGCGGGGGAGAGCGGGGTTGTGTAAAAATTATGTGTATACTTAAAAATAAAATCTTTAACAGTACTTTTCTTGAATCAGCATTTATAACTGTATATTCAAGAATGTTTTTTGATATTTTTATATTGTTCATAAAGTTTGTGAATATTCATGTGTATGATTAATATTTTGGTTTATTATATATATCTATGATGAGTAATAATTTGTACATTGTTTCACCCACAGTATTATAAATGGGTTTGCCCTACCTCTAAAGGCAGAGCACAAACAGTTTCTTATCAAGGTGCTTATTCCTTTACACAAGGTCCGATGCCTTAATTTATATCACGCCCAGGTAGGTACTTGCCATTCTCTATTACCGTCAACAGAAATTTCATCTTAAGATACCGTAAATATTATCAGCGGCATTTCTTGTTATTTTCCTTTCCGTGAGTGCACATTCTGTACTGCAAGGAAAACATGGTGATCATAAATTGACAGCCGTTTTACCGTTACCAATCATAATTTGCTATGTAGAATGCTAGAAATCACATTGTACATAAATTAAATTAATGCATCTCATTTCCTTTTTCAGTTGAATACTTTTCTTTTTTCACTCCTTTTAGTATGATAATGCAAGTATCATAATAGATATATGATCGATAAGTATGAACAGGCCTGGTGAAAAAATAGTTTTGCTACTGTACATTACTGTATTTTTATAAAATGCCTCTGGTGCCAAATTTTGTCTCTAGCCCGACAGTGGTTGTCTGGAGGACGGGAAAATAGAAAAGATTTCCTTCACTAACTGAACCCTGAGGAAATGTGAGATGCTTTGCACACTTTTTTCAGCCCTGAATATGAATGTATGTTACATTCTCCCAGTAGTATAGACATTCAAAATGTTTATGATAAATGTTATTATGCAAGTCTGGGAAATTCTGGTAAAAGCCATTTATCATTGAAAGACAAAGTATAAAGATATGATTGTTAACTTGCAAGGCAAGAATGACAGTCTATATAATATATTTTGTTCCAAATAAACACTAATTTATAACAGGCAGAGGTTGTTTATATGTATTGACCTTTGACTTTCACATGCAAGAATGAAACAAGAAGATGGCTTATTAAAACATTGAATTTTTTTTATTTAATAAGTTATCATTTCCATTGATACACATATCAAAACAGCAATTTAGTTTTCATTGATTTACACTTCACTATGGAAACCCTTTGATTACCAGCCAAGTTAAGGGTCAATGCAAAGGATAGAATTGTTATTATTATTGCCCTGTGGCGTATCTGGAAGTCTTAAAATGGGGGTGCTGATGGTGTCGCAAATGTGAAATGGGGGTGGGGGGTTGGGGTGTGCTCGATGATCAGTTGAGGGCCACTTATTCGCAATATAAGGTGATTTTTAACGACTTGACAGTGATTTTGGGGGTTGGGGGCGCATGTAATTTTTGAAGGGTATTTTTTCACAATAATAGTTTATGTTATCTTTATGTTTTCTTTGTCTCTCAATTTTCTCTATAAAAAAAAAACAACCTGATAATCTTGACAATAAGGATTATTTAAAGATAATAAAACAAATTATTTTCTTGCAATTTTAAAGGGATATTTTCATGAAATTTGCATTTGTTTATTAAAATTTAGCTGTTTATATCTGTCATCAAATTTGTATACATTACATCTAATATTGGAACATCAGTTTGAATAAATTTATAACATCACCTACTTTATAATCAATCCATAATTCCAACAAAAATACTATACTGTATTGTATTCATCCATCCATCCAAAAATTACACTCACTGTAAGGCACTTGCAGAATTTTTTAGACTATACATTAAAAATAATTACATGTCATTAAAAATATGCAAGTATAATAAAATTTTATTTATTAGAAGATAATTAATATATAATATTAATTGTATGAATGTTTAAATGTCATTTCAGTTAGCATATTGTGTTGTACAGTTTTTGGAGAAGGATGCTACGCTAACAGAACAGGTAAGCAGTGTTGTTTACATAGACACATTCTTTCTGAACATCAACATTAATAAAACACTTTCTTGGTAATAATGTAAATCCATTAAAACTAATGGCAGACTAGGAGGGTATGTATGTAAATAATATTCGATGGAATTTGCAGCTGCATTTGTCTTCAGTTTTTGTTTTTTCTTTTCATCTGACATTTTCAAATCGTTTTTTTCGGATTAGGTTTAATAACCTTCAGGATGGTTAATTAAAATCATCTATCGTCATAGCGATGATGTATGTGTTATAATCATCATTTGTAGATTGTATGTAAAGATATGGGGGTCTATAGTGGCCATTGCACTAATGTACTCAAAAACCATAATAATAAATTATTATTATTGTTATTTTTCGTTTGAATACAAATTTGAATTTTGATGAAATAACCATATTGACTCTCATATTAACAATTAATAATGAATCCGCAACATAGCATCACAACAGTTTTATGCCTTATTATATATTTTTCATCTTTAATATTACCTTTATTAAAATTTAATAAATGGAAAATACAAAAGAAAAGTTAACCTACTTTTATCCTTAATTTAAAAAGTCTACTTTTCAATCGAAACCTACATATATTGACCTTTGACACACACGTTACAAAGCCATGATGACATGCCACGTGACTTTACATTATGGTATGACTATGTTAATATGTAGGTACAACACTTAATGTTAATATATAGGCATAACTGTTAAATTTCTCACATACTCAAGACTCTTTACACATTATACCATCCTTATATTTTTACTGATCATTTAGCCAATTTGTCATGCTTGATGAGTCAAATTTTCAGATGAGTGCCAGTAACTGTCAAATTCCATGCATATATAATTTGTGGTAGGTTTTTAGGCCAGGTGATGCATTATCCTAATGTTAAAGAAATCCAATTACATGGTTATACAATAAGCCCTGATTCATGCATTATTTTATCACTTGACGTCAAATTCTGTGAAAATAATTACCGAAGGGTTCTTAAATGTTACAAAGATGATTAACCTAATAATAGTATGCCAAAGAATGAAATAATTTACTAACAGGTATTTTCAAGTTTTTTTTTTAACAACTATTTCCATATTTATTTTTAGGAGTTTAGTTCGATACTGAACATGTTAATTTTTTACTTGGCTATTATTAAACAAATGTTTTTACTTGTGTCATTATTATTATTATTATTATTTTATTTAGCCATCATTTGAAAAATGATATCTGGCCATCTAATAGGTGCAATGTCTATTCAATGTTGTGTCTTCTTACTGTCGTAGGTCATAAAAGGTCTACTTAAATTCTGGCCTAAAACATGCAGCCAAAAAGAGGTGAGTATTTTTCATAGCAATACATTTATTAGCTTGAATTAATAAATAATTTCATTTATATAACAAAAGTATATTTTTTGCACTCATATGAGGTCTAAATTAGGTTGTTTCCAGTCCACCATAGGTCCCTGCAATGGACCCATATCATACTTAGTGTCATTAGCTAGTGCATTGCAATACCATTCTGTGTAGACTATAAAAAGAATGTTGGATATTACTAGTAGTAGCCTAAGAAACAAAAAAAATGACATGAATTATTCTTTTGTCAATTTTTCAATATCATTAAAGTTAGTATACTATAAAAGGTTCTTCAATAATAGAAAAAGTAAAAAAAAAACTAAAGATTAGATAAAATTCTTCTGTTTAATCTGTTTATATTTGACATGTAAGCTTATGTATACCCATGTTTACGTCTCACCAACAAGGCGATTAGTCCTCACAGACTTGGTCATGAAATTTTAGGGGTCATAATGTTTAATACTTTTGAGTTGGGTAGTGTTTGTACTAATATTATGACGGCTTCTAGCTGGCCCAAATTTACCTACAGAGTAGAAGCAAAATTGAGCCGCCTTGGTGCTGCCTATTGGAATTTAACAACACGTTCACCTATCACCAAAGGACAGCTTGAGGATGCCTCTTTCTATTGTGAACAGAGCCATATATTTTTTATAGTATAACTATCAGGCATTGACTGAAATGGTTTTATTATGTACTTCAACTTGTCAGTGATTAAAACAATTTATTTTGAAAAGTTTCTCTGGTCGAGAAGCTTACTATATAAATAGGATGCAATACCACATGAGAGTTGTGTTCTAAAGTCTATTGACTTTTTGTGACCCTAATTGATCTTGCTTTTTAAGATAAATTTTTTATGACTGATATTTGCCTAGTATGAATTCTGGTTAAAACTAGGCTTAAAAACATTATTAATTTGCATAATTTCTTGCTAATTAAATTACCCTTAATGATAGATATGTTACCATCCAATTGCCGTGTTATGAATATCATTACCAGTTCATATCTGATTGTATCAAACTTCTTAAAATATAGACTTTGAACCACAAACCATTAATTCTCAGTTGCATAGTAACTGTAGAGAGACCTTTTCAATTAGAATAAGTTATGTAAAATTATTTTTCAATATGGTACATACATAAATTGGTGATATGGATATATGTTTATTACGTACTAAAGTCTAAAAAAAAAAATAACTTGCTTGACTTATACATTTGTTGTATTCTATTTCACACAAAGTTTGAATTAATATTATGTGCTTAGTATACAATGTACCCTCTTGTTACCAGAGGATGTGTATTCTGTTCCCGCATAAACTATTTTAATGCCTCGCTGGCACAGAACAACTGATGGAATGAAATGATTTTTGTTGTTGTTGAGGGCATGCACCTGTGTTCATCCATATGACATTCGGATGACATCTGTATGGAAGCATTAACATGTGTTGATACCTTTTATGTAGGTCATGTACCTCGGGGAAATTGAAGAGATTTTGGACGTTATTGAGCCAACGCAATTTGTCAAGATTCAAGAACCCCTTTTCAAGCAGCTTGCCAGATGTGTATCCAGTCCACACTTTCAGGTATATAAAAAAATTTTATCAGCTAATTAAAGATAATTGATTTATTTCCTAAATGATAACCTGTATACTATAGTCAAGTGTATTCTCTGAATCACATTACCTAGAAATATGTGTTAGAGAGGGGAGACAAATTGTAGTCAAGAAATGTTGGACAGATTGTGATAAATGGTGGGGATATGTAATAGTAAGCATAAGAATGTTTAGGGTCTTTTAGAAGTAGATTAGCAAAAAGATTTAGTACTGCAATTTGGAGATAAAATCAGATCAAGAAGTATCTTGTTTCTACCTTAGAAATACTTAAATACCTTTAATATGGTTTTGAAAATTACCTGAAAATACAGATGAAGTATTGGCCATAAACTTATTGAAAATAAGCCTTCCTAAGCCTTGTAATAAGACTATTTTATGTAGAGCATCTTGTCATGTTTTGTGAAGGGATTGCCACCTTTGCTATTGTGGGTCATCCTTAGCCTATGTGCCTATATATTGAATGAAATTTAATAACTAATATTTTGATTATTCCTTCATTGCAAGTCTTGATTTACTTATAATAATTTTAAAAATATAAACAATAAAAGGTAAATTAAAAATAAAATAAAAAATATTTAACATGTTAAATATTAATAGGAGTTTATGGATTGTTAGCCTATCTTTAAATAATATGGAGTATCTGATAAAGCTTTCAGAGCATCAGAATGAATATTTGGAGAATATGCAGCATACACGAAATGATGAAAAAGCTAGCAATCTTCGTTTTAGTGAAGGATGATGCAAGACAGACTAGTGTCAAATAATATGGACTGTTGCTAGCGAAGTCTTAGCCTTGACATGTTATGAGTAATATGTCCTTTAGGGAGGTAGAGCCAAAATCTCTGCCTGCCCTATCATTCAGTGCGTAGTATGCCCTGCACAGGCTAGATAACCTAAATGCTAGCCGCACTGGCACCATGATCACTCGCGTTTATTGTCATGCTTTAACAATCTCTGATATTCATATTTTTTTGGCTTTTAAACACATAGAAAAATCAGAGAAACTTATGTATTATTTAAATAGAAAAACAACATTTCTGTTGCAAGTCCTTTTCTAACATAATCATACTTGAAATGAAGCCAAATGATAAGTGATAAGTTAATTTTTTTTTTAATTGCTTTAACAATCTCTGATATTCATATTTTTTTGGTTTTTAAACACATAGAAAAATCAGTCAGAGGAACTTATGTATTATTTAAAAAGAAAAACAACATTTCTGTTGCAAGTCCTTTTCTAACATAATCATACTTGAAATGAAGCCAAATGATAAGTGATAAGTTATTTTTTTTTTTTTAATTGCTTTAACAATCTCTAATATTCATATTTTTTTGGTTTTTAAACACATAGAAAAATCAGTCAGAGAAACTTATGTATTATTTAAAAAGAAAAACAACATTTCTGTTGCAAGTCCTTTTCTAACATAATCATACTTGAAATGAAGGCAAATGATAAGAGATAAGTTAATTTTTTTGGCCTTCTAATTTGTTTATTAGGTTTCATCTCATTCATCGTACTTTATAAATTAGTAAAATGCCAAGAAAATAAAGAATATCTAACATGATTCCCTTATCTAAAAGGTGGTTACACCCCACAAAATTGCAACTCTACATGATTTATTAAAAACTTTTTATTTTTGCTTCAAAGATACCTCATACATACTCCCTGTCAAAAACTATTTTTACCTGCTTTAATTTAAGTTGCTCTCATTTAAACAACTATCATACTCCTATCTTACACCCTGTATTCTTTCCCTTCACTAAATAAATGTAAAACATATGGTGAGTGTTTTTTTCCTATTCCTCCCCCCCCCCCCCTTCTCTGGAATCAGTTACCCATTTCTAATAACAGTCCTCAAATTTAGTACAGTAACATCTCCCAATTATGTACCCTTCCGTCCGAACAGAGTTCGTAATTGAGAAAATTCGTAATTGAGAGAGTTCAAAGTTTCATAGTATCTCAGTGTGGTGAGAGTAGGCCAAAATTAACTGAGCTCACTGTGAAGTATTCATTTGAAAGGATTTCTGAATGAAAACATGACCAAATAATGGCCAAACAAGTGTTATTTTTCTCTTTATAAAATCGCGAATCCATGCGAATAGCGCCCCAATGACAAGAAGTGAGACTGTATGCCTGAACAAGCATGGACAGCTCAAATGTATCTTGGCTGAAAACGATCAAGATTTCTTGCTTTAAACTTAGTTTTATGTCACTTTATTAGTTTAAATGTTTTCTCCCTTAGCTGATATAACATTTTATATTATTTCTGAAGACTTAAATGCAATTTTAAGTGTCTTTGTAGTTAAAAATGATCGTTCGTAATGATGTCATCACTGCAAATTGGGTTCGTAAAATCAAGAGTTCATAATTGGGAGGTTCGTAATTAGGAGATGTTTAACTGTATTAAAAAAAATCTCAAATCGACTGTTAGAATGAGGCCATACAAATGATTGATTAATTGATTGATTGCTTACTTTAAATACTAATAGCAATAACAAGTATAGTTTACCAATGCTTTTTAATAGTAACATATTTTTTAATAAGCCTTTGATTGCTTTTATCAGTATTAATAATTTATTATCGGTCATGAAATCTTCCAAAATCTTCATGTCAACTCCAACATAGGGATTATATAGGTTATTAACTTTATAACTTCAAATGGTGTATAACTTGCAATTAGGCACAGACTGAAGCAAATCAGTTTCGCTGATTTACGGTCCTTTCAACTTGAAAATCTTTTTAGGGATTACTAGCCAATTTAAAGGGAAGCTCAGTCCCAAAGATTTTCTTATAAGTTTATATTTAAGTATATGATATTAAGAATAACATAATTGTATGAGACACTGCAACAAAAGTGTGCAATTTTTCAGGGGAGGAGGGAAGGGGGAGAAGGAAGTAAGCACGAACATTATGAAGTAAATTATTTTTCATGTCGATTATCTCTGGAATCATTACTAGGTATTGATTAGTTTAACTTTGAGAAGGTTTGATTAGCTTGCAAAATTATGATAGCAATTACTGTCTGGAATCTAGGCTTAACATAATAGCTAGATTAAGATGAAACAGTGGTTTTTAGGGGTGGTTTTTGTGTAATATTTTCTGCTGCAAATTAAATGCAATACAAAACATAAATAACAATGTAAGGCCTGCAATTTTAAGATTTTTTAGTTGTGGAGAGACAAAGTTATTACATTGTAAAGTCTACAGTAGAATTCGTTCATCGATATATTTTGGTGTACGTCTCCAATGACAAAAATATAGCACTTAACAAGAATAATGTTATTATAACGGCAAAATATTTTAGAAGATTATAGTATGTCCTGTTTTTATACCCTTTGCTATGCTCAGTCTACAAATGTCAATTTAAGTCCATGACTGCTGAATGACAACACTTACACAGATACAATTTAGCCACAAGGCCACAAGATATGCAATGTTTTTGGTGTTTTGAAATAAAGGAAAATCTAATAGTGTAATTATTACATCCAGTAGGTAATTTATATTTAAATTTTATTTTTCACATTTATTAGCTCAACACTGAAAATTTATGTGTAGGTTATGGTCAGTTTTATCATCATTTAACTATGGTAATATTTGATTAATTACTTCATTTAAACATTTCATGTATTATTTGATTATTTCTGACTGTTAGTGTACAAATTGTATTTTCTTGATTTTTAATGTACCGATTAAAATAGAACTATAAATCAATTTAGTTTTTATTGATAATACCGTAAGACAGATTTAGGAAATACTGTACGTGCTGCAATACTAATTGCATTTATGAACACAATTCTTATCTAAAGAAATTATATATTACAATTAAATAAATCATGCACAAAGCTATATGTTTCCATCTATATGCTGCATTTCTATTGATTTAGTAATAAAATGTATTACTATTGATTTTGTTCATCCTGTTAATTGGTAATATTGATTAATAAAAGAAATACAAAATGCAATTTAGTATTGCTTGAATTCTGTTGTGATTTAGAATGTAGTGTAGACATAAAAATGTTAGTACTGTATGATGTTATTTTTGTTCAATATGTAGCCGTCCTTGTTCAATATGTCACAAACCAAATGAGAATATTCACATTGAAATAAAAAAATTGTAAGAGAGAGTTGTTTTAATATAATAATAATTTTTTTTTTTTTTTCCACTATGAGTTTGTATATTCAGGGGTTTATTTATGAATTTGAGTAGCAGGAGAAATTTGAAAGTAACAGGAGAGTAAATTAAAATAGGCCGGGGGTATAGGGGGGGCCGCCTAGGCCCCCATCGGCGTCCAGGGGCAGAGCCCTGGTCGGGGGTCAAGGGGGGAAGCGTCATTACGCTCCAAGGTTTTAGAGTTTTTTAAAAGCCCATTTGATGGAATTTCTCTACACCATTTTTTTTTAAACAGTTTTCAGAATCAACTACTGAGCTGTAAAATCTTGATATTTTTACATATTCTTCATACATAGGCCTAGCCTAAATAGATACTGTAAACCAGAAACTTTCGCGAATTGATAATTTCGGCCGTTTTCGCGACATTAAACTTTCGCGAATCTCAAAAAGCCTAAATTTAATTCATGAGAGGAATATCATACAATAGCTGAAAATATCGTATCGTGAGTTTAGGCCTAGGTTAGATAGGCCTACAGCCACTGTGTAGGCTACAGAATCTAGGCCTAGGCAGGCTTAGGCGCCATAAGCCTGCAGCCACCTCAGTTGCTAATACCAAGACTTAGCTAGCTATCCCAGGCACAGATAAGAAAGGGACATGTTTACACACATACAGTACTCACTCACATGATATTCCTTAATTTTGTATGGTATTCAAGCATCCTACAAAATGAACAATATTTATCAATGTTTTATTAACAAATTATTTTCCTGTAGGCCTAATATCGATTCAAACACATTGATTGATGGTGATTGAACATCGTGGTATGTCATATGGTACGGAAAATTAGTTTCCCATTTGAACTTCTTAGTGTACACCGCACAGTGGTTGCATTGCACATGTGCAATCACATGCAGTGATGATCAGAACCTCCTTGATAGTCTTACTGAGTAGGTTAGAATAGGCCTAGAATTTACGAATTTTTCGAGCTCAACATCAGAATTTAAGGTCAGAATATTGATTCAATAATAGAAATACATTCTTTTTTATGTTTATACACATTTAATAAAATCCACCAAAATAAATTGAAAATACAATTTTTATAATGATGAAGTTGTTTACTTTTCACAAACATGTTGAAATTTGAGGTGATTCACCATTTAGGCCTATGCCCTAGATCTGCGTTGAAGAAAACATCTAAGGAGAGCAAAAAATAGTTCTAAAATTTACGCAGATATCGAAAAGGAATGGATACCACATTAGAAAAAAAAATGTCTCATGCGATGTGAATTGAGACGATTTTCCATGGCTTGCTCTGCCGTTTTAATCATTGTACTATCTATGACTCTGAAATTGTGAGTGTAAACAGCATTCAATATAGTTCGTTCGGCTTGCTACCTCCGCCACCGAGTGTAAACGAATTTGAGCCGTGTTGGTTTTTTTTTTTATTAATTATTTATCATTTCCGAAATATCTATGTCATCACAAAGAGGGCTAGTAAAATAAAAATGAATTGAAAATAAAAGGTTCATAGTGATACACAAATTAATTTTAAATGACGATCTGTTTTTTTCTTCTCTGCGGTAAGAAAACCCGGAAGCCCAATGTACGGAAAAAGAGTTTGGGTGATGTATATCCTCATCACCTGAGCACGTGGTGGAGGAGAAATTTCTATTATCTTATTGGCTAACATGTGATTTGGAGGCGTGGCTTCTTTGATGGACTCACCCAGGCGCGACTGCCGAACTTTGAACTTTAACTTTGTTTACGCCGCGAGTTCATGAAAGCCAAACATGGAGTCTGAAAATTGGTAGACATTTTAACGAACTTTCAACAGAAAGGAACATTGAAATGAGTGCATACTATTGCAAATTAACTTCGTGTAGGTAAATAAGGTTCTTTACAGGCCTGTTGCGCTATTTATATTGGTGGTTTTTGTATTAATTTTTGTACAGCATTGATTGAAGTAGCCGGCAAAAACATCGTAGTATCCGATCGAATGCGCCGGCTCTTAAATAAACCCCTGATATTATACAAGATCAGTAATATAAGTTAATTATAATTCTATTTCCAACAGTGAAAAAGGTTGCTGTTTGAATTGGTAGTGCTTTTACATAGTATATTATATAAATGTTAAAGATAATAGACTGAGTTTGCAAAGTTTGTTTACAGCTGGTCAAGTGACATATAGTAGGTATAACTATGGAGAACTTACAGTTCGATCAGTGTGAAATAGGAAAAGGTTATGTTGCGGTTACAAAATCAACTGCCCACTATTAATGTATTATTCTAGCATTCTCTGTGCTTTGTATGCTTTAGAATTTGTGATTTTTCTTTAAAATTAGCTAGCCCAGAAATAGTACGTCAAAATTGCAGTTGGCGAATCGAAGACTATCGTGCATACCTAAACAGGCCATAGATATGCAGGGGCCTAGGGCGAGCATTTTTCGAAAAATCTCAACGTTTGCGGGCCAGTATCTTTCGAAGCATTAGCAAACCATTATGGCAAAATTTTAAAGTTCAAATTCCATTAAATTTGGTATAGTTTACTGGCATTCTTACCGAAATTTAACATCAAATATGTGCTTTACACCGAAAACACTCCAAAGGAGCCATGCGTTTTCCTATTAGCGAGCGTAACTCGCACTCTGCCTATTTACAATTTATACCCACTATACGTTATGTAACCAACCTTGCAGAATCGGTCTATTAAACTTGGTTTTGTTTGTTTAGTTCAAAATTATTATATTATTTATGAAATTCTAAAATTTAAATAATATAATTAGGTACCAAAGATGCGCTTTTTGAATTTACCATCGATGGTAGTTTTTGAAAATTGTTAGCATTGAAATTGTCGCTTTAATATGCTTAAAACATGTGGTTATTCCTGATCTCGACAAAGTGATCCATAATCTTTCTCTGGGTATTATTGTTACTTTCAGGTTGCCGAGCGAGCATTATACTTTTGGAACAATGAATATGTACTGAGTTTGATTGAGGAGAATTCGAATGTTGTAATGCCCATCATGTTTCCAAGTCTCTATAGGATATCAAAAGAGCACTGGAATCAGTAAGTCATCAAGAGACACCTTTATCTTGCTCGAATTTTGTTTGATCTTACATGTAGGGAAGAAATACTTCAGTTTGCGGTTCTCAGACTAAGAACATTGGGTCGCCAAATAAATTAAAGAATCACAAGACAACGGTTTTTTTGTTTTTAAAGTTTCAAGAAACGCTGATGATGTCATTGAAGATAATGATGGTGTTTTTTGTGATAGTTAATAGAATGTCGTGTCAGAATGATGATGATGATGACGACGACGACGATGATGATGATGACGATGATGATGATGATGGTAAAAAGAACGCTGATGACAATGATAATGGTTGTGGTAGCACTGCTAATAATACTGTACAATTTGTGATGATAATAATGTCAATTTAGATGACTATAATACTAATGATGATGGTAGGTGCTGAGGGAGTGTTGATATAACAATGATGATAATTATAGTGATGTTACTTTTGATTGATGAATCTGGAACTAGTAATAATGATGTCAATTCCCATTGCTTGTACTAAGTGGCAATGTTTTATTTCACTTTTGGTTTTGAGAGCTAAATAAAATGAAATTATAATAATGGCTATGATAGTTGCTAATGGAAAAAAATGCTCCTGATAATAATGGTATTGGTAACTATTGGTTACGGTTGATAACATGAATGATTATTATAATGACTTTTAATTATCACAGGACAATAGTGGCCTTGGTTTACAATGTGTTGAAGACATTTATGGAAATGCATAGCAAACTATTTGATGAACTAACAGCAAATTACAAGACTGACCGACAAAAGTAAGTTCATCTAAATGATTAAGTCGCTGACAGCTCATTGAACGTGTTGTCTGTGTAGGTTGTAAAACAGATGAAACGTTTTATTATTTTGCCAAGATTACAAAACCAGAAGATAGTAATGACAGATTTACAATGGGGGTCAAAGTAAATGCGGATGAAAAGTTGAACTTTGTGGATACATATCTTGTCGTTTTGTCGTTTAACAGATAACTGGCTTAGAATTTTGGATGTGTGATGAAATTCAAAGCCTTAGTAATAATACAGTTGGCCCTCCAATTTGAAACCGCATTTTAGACCTGAAAATTGGGATGGTCTCAGGGTTCTGTCTCTACATAGAGGGCTAGCTTATTGTTAATAGATTGAATATTTGTTATTTGGTTCTTTGAAGAAGTGGTCTTGAATTAGAGGATCTTGAATTGGAGTGTGCACTGTATACCAGTATTATACAGTGCATTTTGAAAAGGCCAATATGCGCTTCGCAGTATTTAGTGTAGTCTTTGGATCACTCTCACATACTAAATCCTTGGGGAGAGCTAGTAATCAGCACATTTCCATGCAAACCTACCGACTATACCCCTGGGTATACAACAATAACATCGATGAAATCCAGGCTCCAAAGGAATAACAATTGTGATATTTTGTACAAACTCTTAAGACATGAAGGGGTGTTTGAAATAGTAATTGGAAACTGCTAATAAAATACAAATTTTTGGCAGTTAACCTTCTTGTATAGAGTTTGTTTCGTAGAACCAAATATGCCTGATAAGCAATAAAAATTTAAGGTTCAGCATGGTACAAGTCTGGCTTCTGTGTTCTGGCTTCAAAGCTACTAAGAGCCTTGCACTACAGCTTTTACAGTAGACTAGGATCATAGCCGTACGTAGTTCAGCGCAATAGTGCTACAAGTTATTGGATATTTTCATAATTCACACTTATACCATGACTCATTATATTACATAGAGTTTATTTCTTTCCTGTGAGTGGCAAGTTGTTTTCATTTGGATGAGTAAAATATATGTAAAATGTGTACCTTCCTTTTTTGTCTTTCAGGGAAAAGAAGAGGGAAAAGGATAGAGATGAACTTTGGAAAAAACTGAGCAAGTTAGAGATGAATAACAAAGCTAATGCCAAATAGTGGTGAACTGCCTGGCAGTGGATAGAAGAGCATGCGAGTGGGTTCGCCCCTTCCCATGGACAGGAGGAAACATGTGTATATAGCCACGTCTATGATTACCCGTTGATTGTGTTCCTGATGGGAGTGTATGTGTAAAACAGGACAGATTTTAACAAATGGGGAAAATGTGCAACAATGCTCTTCTAGAATGCCATCGAAGTGTCAACCTTGCATTGTTCCAAAGACTTCCTTCATGAATGCTTTTTATTGTGAGCTGGCCACGCGCTGGAACATGCCGTACATGTAAATTGAGTGCTGTGTGATTTACAGGCAAAATTGACTGGTGATACATGTACTGTAGTAGCTTTTCACACAAGGGACAAAGCAATCTTCAGTGATTGCATACATTTTCATCTGATCTGCTAATAACATGTTTCATTGCATAAATCTGTATTCTAGAGTATGATTTTTCTGAAAGTACATAATACTTAATAGCTATACTGGTACTTGTTCCATATCCTCATCTATGCTCTGTAAACCTGTTATTTGTTTTTAAGTTGATTAAACTAGAATGGCGATAAAATGGAAAATACTGTAGTGGGTTGTTGGCTATAAAAGTAAGGCATAATTAAAATCAAATAAATTTGCTGTTCTGTTGCAGATAAAATATAGAACAGGCTTTTATAAGGGATTACCTCATACCTGTGTACATGAGTATATTGTTTACTGTAAGTGATAAGTAATATGTACATGAACGCTACGTTTATATGGGGGTAGATACAAGACATTTTTGTATGGATTACACAACAGGTATATAGCTTCATGATAAATTCATTGCCTTATCGAATAGATACATACCGTTCCCTGGCTTGAGTTTGCTGTTAGCTGATGAATGTGTGCTGTTGACCTGTGATGAATACTACTAATTAATGTCAGGAGGTTAACAGGACACATATACATGGAAGCTTCTGATTGGAGTGCTTTGGATTATGTGACTCTAGTTACACAGATTGCAGCACTCACATTAGATCTTATATTCTATCTTACAAATGAAATTGTTCATATACTCATGAACCTATGTGATCCCTATTGAATTCATTGGCTTGGGTAAGCATTAACATAAATTAATGATGTCATCTCATTTGCATAAGTGATTTCATCTAATTTGTTTATTTGATGTCACCTCATTTGCATAAGTGATGTCATCTCATTAGCATAAATGATACCATCTCTGAATGAATTTGTAATATTCTCCCCCCTCCCTTCCCTCTTCTTTCCTTGTGATGTTTAGATTGAATTGTTGTGGTTAAAAATGATTAATACTAAACAGTTAAATGCAGAAAAACATTGATGCTAGATCCTAGTGCCATGATGTGAAATTTATCCATGCCTGGCACTAAACTCGTTTCTCCTTATTTTTCTCATTTTGGTTGTTATATGTTAATTTATTGTAAATATATTTTTATTTATTTGTAGGTCTAATGAATTTATTTGTGTATCATAGATTGTGCAAAATATGTCAACTTAGTAGACTAAGATTTAATATTTTAGCTAAAGATAATGTTTATGGAGTACAGAGTGAGTGTTTATTTCTTTTAAACAGATCTGTATTTAACTTGTTTATGCTCTATAAATGTATAATGAAATTGAAATTAGTACAGTATGTAAATCATTAAGAATACATAATCCAACACATTGGCTATTGATTATCAGTTGTCTCAAAAGTATATCTGAATGAAATAGAGCTCACAGCTCACAAACTATAATTCAGCCAATCACAAAAGAGGAAGAGGGAAAATGCATCATTTTAATAAGCCACTGGTTATGCATGATTGGCCTCAGTTTCAGATCTTTTGGAGTGGCTACTTATGACCACCTACTTTTGTTGCCCTTGTATTTTATTGATTTCTTTGAAGTTAAAGATACATATTTTTGGTCTGGAGCGACCCCATAGAATTTCTAAAGGTTCCTATTTTCATTTAAATTTAATGATTGATTTATTGATTAAGTCTGTAACCAGGAAACACCTAAGCTGTCCTTTCAAACATCAGTATAAACTTACAAGAAGGTTATAGTGTGTTCATCATATTCCTAGTACAAGTGTGGTAAAGTTACGAATACTAATGAGTACAGGGGGACACAAGTTACTTTTCTGCTTATCGTATGTCCTCAGTGTACACACAAAATTTTACACATGGTTAGGCGAGACTTTTTTTATACTGTACCTTGTTTAGCGAACCCTCCGACTGCCAAGAGCTTTCGGACAACACTAGTCCTTTCGGACAACACTAGTCCTACACTGTATATATAATATATATATATATATATATATATATATATATATATACTGTATATATATATAAATTTAAAGCATTTATCAATCTCATAACTACACTATTTGATTAATTTATTCATTAATAATTTTTTTTCTCCTAGATGGCTTTGGCAAAATCATTTTGCTAAATGATAAAACAAAATCGTATTTTTAATTTTTTTTTTTTCACCCTTTGACGATCTTTAAAAAAATAATTTGCAAAACAAGGTATAAAATATGTCTGGCCTTACTAGTAAACATGTGATTCTATGTGTTTAGCAAAACATAAACACATATGTACACATGCTTAAAAGCAAATATGTGTATAAAGCCGAATGTACACATGTTTCGGTATGCTAAAAGCACTGAGAAATTCATATTCAAGTTAGATACTGGAAACATGGAGAAAGGTGTTGAGCCTTGTTTAGATTGCACTTTTTTGGTCGAACTAACCATGGACCTCATCAGTTTGACCATAACAAAAATCTGGTGTGAACATTTTGCTTGGTCAAATTACCAAAACTGTGGTGTGTTTAACCGAGTGAACATTGTCATGGCATATAGCGCTCGTGTTCAATCTTCCTGTGGGTGCATCACTTGTTATACAGATTAATGTATCCACCCATGTGCAAAACCATACTTATTTAAAAACTACTGTGTCTTCAATCCAAGTACAAAGAGAGGTACGATTTGACCAAGATACAGTTACCATTTCATCTTTGCAAAGATTAATCTCAAGTGAACACAGCTTTAGATTACACTTGTTGAATGTTTGCTACACAAGACCGATTTGAACATAAATTTTAAATGTTTAGTTCTAGCACTTTTCATCACAAAATAGAATCTTTAAAACATTCATTATTAATTAACATAGTCCTCATTTCATTTGACTACTTTGAAGAAGTAGATATAACTTGGTGAATTAACTACAGCATTATCCCAACTCTTAAGTTCAGATGTTCACTTTTGTTTTCTCAGGTACCGGATACCATATCAATATTGTAATTGCAAATGTAATTTATCAATATCTATTACATATAAATATACATGGATATATAATCATATATACATAATTTTTTAAGTATGTATATATGATCATATATAATTATATAGATCTGTATTAATATATAATGATTGTATATTATGTAATATATATGATATAATTATATATGATCATATATAGATAATTATGTAATTATTGTGTATGCATTATCATATATAGTTATATAGGTCTGTATTAATATATATAATGATTGTATATTGTGTAAAATATATGATACATAATTGAAGCGAGGCTGTATCAGCAACAATTATTCAAATGGAAACTCATGAGTACAGTATGTGTATATTATATAGAAAGGAATACCTTAAATTTAAAATACCTGGTCATATACTTGTGATTGAGTTCTCATTTAATATAAATACATATAATATATACATTTGTATATTTATATGTTTATGAAATAGTGGTCATGTTTGCAGGGTGTTTGTGAAGAATTTTAATTTTCTATGAAACCAACTGATTGCATGATGTGTCATAATGGTTCCCCAGCCTTCCCACCATGCCCTACATTATGCAAAGTGTTGTGGAAGGGCTAGGAAGCCTGTCTAAGTGTATGATCCCTAAATGTGAAGATGATGTATTATTAGATAACTGTTTCGATGATATCGAATTAATTGGATGTTTATTTTAACTGCTTTGTTATGGTCATACTGCTTGACAAATTAAAGATTACTGATCTTGAATTCGACTGCACATTTATTCTGCACCTTCTCCGTATTTCTAATGGTGTTTTTTTTTCCTTTTTGGTAAAAATAAGTGGCATACCACTGGTCTGATCCCTTAGCTAAAGTTTAAAGGGCCTTTTGATGCTGCTTAAAAATTCCCCACTCAGTTTGGGGAAAAAATAATGTGGAACATTTCGAGGCCCCTCAAATTTTTAAGCTAGTAAGAGCATAACTGTTGCACCACTGGCAACAACTCATGCAATGATCGCTGTAGGCTACAAGGGAGCAAAGGTGTCCTGCAAAGCCCTGCCCCCTTGGATACTCTTGCCAGTGGTGACTCAAGAAATTTGTCGACCAGGGATCCAACATGCACAACAGTTGCGTCCAAAGCAAGGGGTCTGCTAGAGCCTTGATCAGGGTCCCGGAATAAAAATTTTGTGTAGGATTCATGAGTTTTTATGGCTTAGTATGGCCCAAAATTGTGCTTTTATACCACAATAGGGATTGGCAATCAAAATAATGTTTTGGATAGGCAAATTAAAAGTTTTAGACGACAGAGGTCAAGGCCTGTCCAATGGGGGAGGAGGAAAATCTCTCTGCCCCACCCCAGCTGGTACCACCACTGACTCTTGCTAAGGCCCGACAAAATGACATTAAACATACATGCAATACATGTATTGGTGGGGAAAGCACATGCGCGCCTCTCTGGCCCTCTTGTTTATCAATTGTTTAATTTGAAACTTTAAAAAGGTCTATCTCTGGCGAGGACAAAAGGCTGCAGGATCTGGGAGAAAGGGCATGGTGGAGGTTTTGAGGCTATTACGAAAACCACGGATTGGCTGACGGAATCCAGGGAAAGTACAGGATCCAGTGTAATCCGTTGCCTACAACAGCACGTGAGGGTTTCATGTAAAAACAATTTATCATTGTTGACTTCTAGTGGCCGGTCGCTTTGGACTACTGTATTACTAAAGAGCCACAACCTGCTTTCAGAGGTGGCACCAGGATTTGCCCGACCACGCCCACTTCCCCGACGAAAACAAATGGGCGTGGTAGGGCGTCGCTGAAAACCTCTCAAAAGTATTCCAGGGGCGACATCCCCGAAAAATATGACAGTTTAGGGTTTTCAAAGGCTTGTTTAATAGATTTTGGAGTCTACTAATATGTAGAAAATACATACACAATTTTTTCTCCCCGACGAATTGTGGTTTTTCTTCCCCGACCGGGCCCTGATCCCCGATCCCCGCTGGCGCCACCCATGCGTACTTTATGCAAGTGGTCACTTAGGAGTCAACTGCCATTCTTATAATATAGAATCTATATCGAGGATTTTTAAAAGTATATTAATATAACTGATTAAATTAGTTAAATTCCCAACAAGTTGAAGCCTGATCTAATAAGCCTACACGCTGCTGAGATGGAAACAACACTGCCTGTGTTTTTTCTCGCGTCTTGGATCATTCAGCTATGTAGCAGTGGCGTAACACTGGGGCCCTTTTTTAGTCTCGGTCGCCAATCATTTTTTGTCCTTGTGTTTTAACAACGTAACTAATGATGGATATCAGTAGAGGCAGGAGTAGTGACGCCAGGACCTGCCCGACGGAGGGGGATAAAGGCCCCGACGAGGGGGTGGGGGGCTAGTGGAGCGAATCGAGTCCCCCTTGGGTGGGACCAGAAGGCCGCCCAGGGCCCCCATTGGGAAGCCCCCTGGAAGCCACGGATATTTGATGAATTATGGCGAATTTTTATTACTTATTTGATAGGCATCGAGTTACTATAATATGACTTCATGTAGGCTATGCTTTCTAATGTTGAAATCAGCTTCCAAAACCAAAACATTTTGAATGAAACAAGAAACAAAGAGTATGCAATGTAACCATCTAATTAAGTGAAATTCTATATTTTGAAATTTTGCATGAAATCTGTCAACCACGCTTTCATGGTCGAGGTTGCTTCACCTATCACGATGTATTCCAACCATCATGAAGCTATCTAAATGAGCATTTGGTGGCGCCAGAGGGGGTGCTATTCCCCCCCTCCCCTCTGGCGCCACCACTGAGTAGAGGATCCAGAAATTTGCGATAGAAGGGGTGTGTTTCACAGATGAAGGGTCTATACCACCTCAGCCCCAACATGGTTGGGGGTGAGGTAAGAAAAGTTATGATTATGGCACTTCTAGAGTGCCGGATATGGCACTCGGACAGTTAAAATTCGAATATAATTTTTTTGTCTCCACTTTAATACGTCACTGGATATGTCCAACAGTCAATGTCAAAGATACAATAAGCTTTTATATATCAACAGAGCTCTTTTGCATCAGGGTGCTAGAGCGAGGACCCTAACGGATTAGACCGGGGTCCCTAGGGGTCGGGGGACGTGCAGACCACCGTACGAGAGCGCATAAGCTTTACGCCACTGCACGTAGAATCTGTAGCCTATACAGTATTTTAAAAAAAGAATAGTTAATTTTAACTATAATTTAAACAAATGTCAAAAGAAACTTTTCTAAACTGGTACGTCACATAGGCCCTCCAACATGGCGTCAGAGGCCTCACTTTTTTCTGTACCAGGATTGGCCGATGAGCAATCCAGCTATTATAGTAGAGATCAGATACACACCGCCGATAAGCGGAGCCCTACTCCACTAGAGA